AAAACAACCAATCTAGTTGGTTAAAACTAGTTTTGTTAGATTAAACAATGTAATTATGAAAAACTGAGGAAGCCACTAGATGTAATGGGTTTTAAGTAGTATTGCTTTCTGGAGAATGTTCACCTTGCTAGTGGCATCAGTTGTCAGAGATGCACTTCCACTCCTGAGGTTGATGCCATAAAAAGTGTTTTGGCTAATGTGACTGATTTGTATAGGTTTTGCACTAGTACAAATATAGATATGGAAAAAAAAAACAAATTAGAGTGGTTGGTTTAACCAAAAGATTGATTGAACTCATAAACTTCCAACCTGATTAAAACCAAAACTGTGCAAAAACTATTATGTTTGAATAAAATGACTAACACCTTTCATTTTGCTCATCATTGCCCAAGTTGCACAAAAACCTTTCACTGTCTGCTTGAGTTTATTTAACTAAAATGGATGAAAAAAGTCCACCTTAAATTATTTTTTCTTCTAAAATTTTACACTTAAAAAACGTACAAAAAATTTTTATTACACAGACCATTCATTAAAAATTTCAAAGGAACTTAAATGGGAAAAAAAACAAGAAAAACTATTACAAAAAAGTCATTTCGCTCCCATCCGGGAAGCTTTTTCAATAATAAAAAAGTAATTTTGAATAAAAAATTGAATAAGCTTCCTGGATGGGAAGCAAAACGTCTTCAAACTTGGAAACAAAGTCCAGTGGATTGTTCCTAACTTTTTTTTTGGAATTACTATGACCTGAATGACTAATAAATTGCAATTGCAAAAAAAAAATCACAGAGTATATTACTAACTGTAGTTCTAAACTCCACCAGTAGGTGGTGACGTGTTCACATGAAGATTCATGAACTGTTGACATCATTAAAGCAATTTGGCCAAAGGTTCAACGCCTCACAAGGCTTCATCTCACCATTACTAAAAGAAGGAAAAGAATCAGCAGTAGTGATCTGTCCAATGTGTATTATCTGCCAACATTTAGGGCTTTTACCTCAGAGTAAAATGACGAGTCTATAACTTTTTTTTTTCCAACTTGAGTCATAGGAAAGACAGCTGTCTTGCTTATTTGCGATGTACCTGTCATGTCCAACACTCTAGAGGTGTTTTACTGCTGTGAAACCTTGAGCTGGTTTTGGTTGATCTTCATAATGTTCTCCCTAAATGCTGGTTTGTGTCAACATTCTAACATATAAAGTCTAAGCTGCATCCAAAGAAATTAGAATAAAAAGGTCAGCTGCTTTGTGTACATTTGCTCGAATGCACAGTGAAAGAGCTCTCTGTTAAGAATAACCCACTTTTTCCGTATGCCCCCGTTTCATTCTCAAGTCTGCGTTACTGTATGTATATAATAAAGGTGAGTATTTTTCATTTTGGTTGATTTTCAGAACTGCAGTTCACTTGCAATTAATTTGGGGCATGGTACTGTGAAGTTAGGAGTCTGAGTCGAAAGCATTTTTCTTGCAAGATACATACAGTATATGAATTTTATTTATTGTCCTTTTGGACGGAGAGGGAGATAGAGCTCTCTTAATCATCCTTAACACATACATTTATACCAAAACAATCCAACACTCTGTCTCTCCCATGAAACTAAACCCACCCCCTGCACAAAGATCTCTCCCACACTTGAACATCTGGTTATTACCAAGAAAAACACTTCAGTTAATCAAAGATATAGATTTTAGCCACGGCATAAAGGAGGCTGTGTGAATTCTCATGACCTTCCCTTCACCCTTGTCTAGAGTAAGGAGGCATCTGCTTTCTGTTCCACTAAACAGTACAGCATAGTGAACGGTCAGGATTTCTCTATCATTACTCCCATTCAAACAGGCACACTCAAAACATTTTATCTCCCAAAATAGGCCAAGGAACAATATTCCANAAAACAACCAATCTAGTTGGTTAAAACTAGTTTTGTTAGATTAAACAATGTAATTATGAAAAACTGAGGAAGCCACTAGATGTAATGGGTTTTAAATAGTATTGCATCTCTGTCAGCTGTCAGAGATGCACTTCCACTCCTGAGGTTGATGCCATAAAAAGTGTTTTGGCTAATGTGACTGATTTGTATTGGTTTGCCCTAGTACAAATATAGATATGGTAAAAACACAACCAAATTAGAGTGGTTGGTTTAACCAAAAGATTGATTGAACTCATAAACTACCAACCTGATTAAAACCAAAAACTTTACAAAAACTATTATATTTGAATAAAATGACTAACACCTTTCATTTTGCTCATCATTGCCCAAGTTGCACAAAACCTCTCACTGTCTGCTTGAGGTTATAAACTAAAATGGAAAAAAAGCTTCCTGGATGGGAAGAATAATCTTCAAACTTGGAAACAAAGTCCAGTGGATTGTTTCTATTTTTTTTTTAATTACTATGACCTGAATGACTAAAAATCTTCACCAGCAAAAAAAAAAAATCACAGATTATATTACTAACTGTAGTTCTAAATTCCACCAGTAGGTGGTGACGTGTTCACATGAAGCTTCATGAGCTCAAGTCCAAGTCAAGTCTCAAGTCTAGAGTAGGCCTGTTGCAATATTAATTAATTCTAATCACATGATTAATAAAAATAAGTTCAATATTTTGCGTGCTTGCTTGTTGTTCCTTGTGTTTTCATCTCCTTCACTGAGACGGTATAGCTTAAAGGTTGCTATTATATCTATGGAATGATCATTATCTTGAACTGGTAAGTGAAAAATACATGCTTATATGTCACGTAGAGTTGTCACGTAGCGTTGTCACGTAGCGTTGCATCAGTGACGTAAGTGCTACGTGACTGTTTGACCGCCCCTCTGCTTTTTTTTTTTTTTTTTAAGCTCTGCTGTGTGCGGGTAAGGCGAGCGGCGATCAGTCAAGTTAGTAAAACAAAAAAACACTTAAAAAATAAAATATTGTTCATAAGTCGGATATTGCGAGTCTCGGTAGAGTCTGAAGTCCTTCAAATGCAAGTCTAAGTCGAGTCTAAAGTCATTAAATATGCGACTTAAGTGCAACTCGAGTACAAGTCACAAACCCGAGTCCCCACCTCTGCTGATTATTACCAAGAAAAACACTTCACTTAATCAAGGACATAAATTTTATCCACGGCATAAAGGAGGCTTTGTGAACTCATAACGTCTCATGACCTTATCTTCACCTTTGTCTAGAGTAAGGAGGCATCTGCTTTCTTTCCCCCTAAACAGTACAGCCTAGGGAACGGTCAGGATTTCTCTATCATTACTCCTATTTAAACAGGCACACTCAAAACATGTTATCTCCCAAAATAGGCCAAGGAACAATATTCCACAGTACCATCAGGATTATTGTTTGATCTACAAAAATATATTGTATGTGTTTTCACTTCAT